AATGTATGAAATTTTACAATAAGTGCATAAAGAATCTAAATAGCTCCTGGCCAATTCTGACCAGATTTTGTAGGCAAAGGTGATCAACTCAGTTTTCTGAGCTTTCTGGATTTTAGAATTGTAGACAAATCATTGGACCTAGAAAAAGACAGCACACCAGTATTGAAGTAATACAGAGATACAATATTCATTTGGTGGTGTTTGGGCGTGTATTCTAGCAAGCAACAGACATGGTGACCACTGGTCAGGCCAGGAGACTGTGGGATAGAGACAAATAATAGAAAGAAGGCAAAGGCCAAAAGAGGGAGACAAAGAAGATCCAGGAAGCCCCTGGGGAGGGAGCTCGGCAAAGACAGGAGGTGATTAGAGAGAGGAATACTTGAGAAAGGGGGCAAATTGAGGGATAGAGGTATTCCAAGGTGGAAATGAAAAGCCAGAATTGACCAATTAGGATGGAGCAGGTGTGAGAGTTACCAAGAATGTGATGTAGCCAGTACAAAGGCAGAGCTGGAGGAGATAGGAACTCGGAGAGCAAGAGAGTTGAAGAGCAGACCCAAGGAGAGCAGAAGGGAGATTTCAGAGGTGAGGACACCAGGAAGATAGGGATGGGGGTAGAAGGGCGAGACATGAAAATGGAGGGAAGACAGGCCGGGAGAGCATCTGAGACAGATTCCTGCAAAGGCAGGGAGGAGGGGAGAATAAATAAAGGTGGGAAGGAGAGGAGAGAGGCTTGGACAGGGCCTGTGTCAGAACAATGGGAAGGGGGAGGATGGGAAAGGAGGGCTAGAACTTTATCAGTCACGCTGAACATATTGTAAAGGCTTTTTACTTTGTAATAAAGTTACATTTTCAATCGCAATTCTTTAAATTTTTTTTTTTTTTAAATTTTGAGACGGAGTCTTGCTCTGTTGCCCAGGCTGAAGTACAGTGGTGCGGTCTCAGCTCACTGCAACCTCTGCCTCTCAGGTTCAAGCACTCTTCCTGCCTCAGCCTCCCAAGTAGCTGGGACCACAGGTGTGCACCACCATGCCTGCCTAATTTTTGTATTTTTAATAGAGATGGGAGTTCACCATGTTTCCCAGGCTGGTCTCGAACTCCTGACCTCAATGATCTGCTTGCCTCCCAAAGTGCTAGGATTACAGGTGTGAGCCACCGCGTCTGGCCACAATCACAATTCTTTTTGCATCTTAAAACACTCAGAAGTCTGTTTATCACATGACTGTTGAATCAGCTGTTTTATTTTGGCTTCAGGGCACTTTTCTGATAGCAACATTGACCTTCATTGCAAACTTAATTTTTAAAAATACATACAAAACACCTGGAAGTACAGGTGAGTAAAGCATATGAGAAGCTTATTTTTTGTTTGTAGATAATTAGGCCTCTAATTCCACTACTACTTCACATGTGAAACAAGCACACTCATTTTACCCAAAGAATGTTGAGTTATATGTTGACCAAATAAGTAAACCAAGCCATTCTGGGCTCTTAAATAGATATGTACTCCTAAAAATTAGGTGCAGTTTTTGTTGCATAACTATTTATACAAAACCATTCTTTGTTAATTGAATTTTATTTGGGTTACTATATTCCGGAATTAAAATGTGCCATTTTTCTTTTTCTTTTTTTTTTTTTTTTGAGACGGAGTCTCGCTCTGTCGCCCAGGCTGGAGTGCTGTGGCCAATCTCAGCTCACTGCAAGCTCCGCCTCCTGGGTTCATGCCATTCTCCTGCCTCAGCTTCCTGAGTAGCTGGGACTACAGGCGCCCGCCACCTCGCCTGGCTGTTTTTTAGTAGAGATGGGGTTTCACCGTGTTAACCAGGATGGTCTCGATCTCCTGACCTCGTGATCCGCCCGTCTTGGCCTCCCAAAGTGCTGGGATTACAGGCTTGAGCCACTGTGCCTGGCCAGAAAATGTGCCATTTTTCAATATCAACCTATTAGAAAGCAGCATCCCAATTTTGCCTCTAAAATTCACATGGCAGGCAATTTTGTCACTTCCAGTGAGAGGCCTTAAAACTCTTTGATTACATCTGGTCATATTTATTCACAGTAAGATGAGCACACAAGTAAGCATCTGTTGTGAGATGTATTTAGCTGGCATCTTCTGGGATAACACGTCTCTAAAGGTTTTAACTCCCATGTTCCCAATCTTTTTCCTTCTCCCTCACAGTGGACTTCATTCAGCCCGCAAGCAGGTCAGTCTTTGGGATGACTGGCCTGAAATATACTTGATTTTCACAACTGTCCACAGCATGAATATAAAGGTGTGAAATTAAAATTCAGATGGAAAACCTTTTCTCAAGTCAGAGTGGCCAAGTGAAACTGACATCCCTAAGAAAGGACCATGCCAGGCGTGCCTTGAGCTTGGCCACTAGGGGGCAGTCAAACACTGCTCCCCTCAAAATACTGTTCAGGCCCAATTTTGGATAACCTGTTTTGGAGGTTAAGCAAATTATTTGAGTAAGTAGCAATTGGTAGTTACCAAGTAGCAGCCTCAATACTTCATGCTTTTAATTTCCTACATAAGCCCATGTTTTTGATTTGTAATATGGTTCCTAATTTGGCCATTAAGAAATGTTTTTTAAAAGTTTAAAGTTATTTTTAATAACTTTATTTTAGACAGGTTTACTCTTAGAGACAGATATTGTTTTTAGATCTGCCTGTGGCTTTGTAGTTCCCAGTTTAATTATGTTAATGCGAGATAGTTAGTAACAATTACTTGAATTTTATGGACATATTTCAACAGGTTGAAATTCCACAAAACATAATTGGTAGTTACCCAGTAGCAGCCTTAATACTTCATGCTTTTAATTTCCTACATAAGCCCATGTTTTTTATTTGTAATATGGTTCTTAATTTGTCCATTAAGAAATGTTTTTTAAAAAGTAGTTTGAAGCTGGTTAACAAAGATACACAGTGAATAAATTAATGATAAAATACATATAATAATAATAAGATACGTTATGCGTAGTTGTCTATTAGTGCCTGTAGCTTAAGGCAGTCAGTCACTCATTCCTTAGGCACTCCAGAGTGATGATGGTCAGAGGAGAGCAGATGATCACATCATTTCTAGTTTTCTGTTTTGTTTAGATCTGGTCTAAGGGTCTATCACAAATATTATTTAAATTAAAAAGACAACCCTTACTTTTAGGCAATTCTAAATGAACTTTCTTTGGTTACTATGAAAAGCCTTACCATTTTAATTGTCCACAATTTTATTGTGAAAAAGAAAAAAGTTTTACTAATTATAGAGCAAATCCTATTATTTTTATAAGTAGAAATAAAATGTCAAAGCATTGATTAATGTGTCTTGCTTTGAAAAGAAATCATTTTAAACATAAATGTTTAAATTAGTAGTCAACAGTAATACAAAATTCGAAAATAAAAATTCCCAGAGATTATAATTAATCAACAAATATTTGTTAGGTTGGTACTAGGAGTTTGAAATACGGCTTTTACTTAGAAATAAAATCAAACGACAATTATTAATTGAATTTTTGTTTTTAGTTGAAAGGGTGACTTTACATTATGGTAAATCACAAAATGTTATTTTAGTAGTAGATGTTTTTCATCTCATAAACGGTTTAAGCAAAATCAATTAAATGCATTATCATGTGTAAAAGCAAAAATATAGTAAAATTGGTTAAACTATGGTTACAGTCCTGTAAATTAAATATTTTTTTAAAGGGCACAGATGATCTCTATGACTTGTCTTAAATCCAAGAAACTACTTTGTAGCTATATATTCTTAAAATCGTATAAAATTGAATATTCAAATGTGGATAGAACATGAACTTCTGAAGTAGGACCTTAAATAGGACCTTAAATAAAGCAATAGACTGCTTGCTACAACTGTATTGCATGCCAGGTGAGTTCATATATTGTTTCTTCTTAGTTAATACTAAGTTTTTCATGTAAGAGATATTAAAATATAAAATAAAAGTCATGCTAGGTGTATGGAGATATGTATTTTAAATATTTGAAGTAAAGTTTTAGTATTCTTTTAAATTCAAAATAAAATTTAGATATTTAAAATCTTTTAAAAATCTTTTGTTTGTTAGAAATTTTAAAATAATTCCTCCTAAATGTTGCACTTTGTTTCAAGATTTAAAATATTCACTTGGAATTCACTTAATAAAACTGAATATTTAAAAAACCTAAAACAAATTTTTCAGAAAATAAAAACAATTTCAAATTTTAACCTTTATTCTCAGAGGTTTATCAAAATTCTTTAAGAAAAAATATGAATTAAAATATAAACATTTTTGAATAATAAACCTCAGCAAACCTTGGGTATGATTAATAGGTTGTTTATGAATGTATAGGCTGACAACGAATCTTTTTCTTTAAAAGCAAGTGAAGATTTAAGTTTTATTTTTTGGTGAGCTTTACAATGAAAATGGTGCTGACTTGAAAATTAAGAGTTTGACTGAAATAAAAATTTCCACAAATTAAAAGCAAAAGAAAATTATCTAAGTAAATGCACTTTTATAGACATTTAATAACTTTATTTTAGAGAGGTTTACTCTCAGAGACGGATACTGTTTTTTAGATCTGCCTGTGGCTTTGGAGTTCCCAGTTTAATTACATTAACGCAAGATAGTTACTAACAAGTACATGAATTTTATGGACATATTTCAACAGGTTGAAATTCCACAAAACACAATTTTAGTTTATTAATTTGTCATGCTTTTTAAAACAAATGCCAAAAATATTTTCTGCGTTTTAATTGATATAGTCAACATTGTTTTTTGACGTACTTTATCTACAGCTTTAATAACATACAAAGGCATGCTTCCATGAAAAATTTGTTGCATCTAAAAATTACTAGGCTGTATGGGACTAAAAGCAATGAAAGGTAATGACAAATACAAGGCAAATTTGATGTCCTTTTTTTTTTTTAAACACCCTAACACATTTTTTACAATTGCCATAGAACTACATAGAAATGTATTCTTTGGGAATTGCACTCATTTAAAGCGAGAAAGTAGCAGCCTTACCTTTGACATTGATCAGAACGATGAAATGAAGTAGAAAGAACATTGTAATCAATCTGAGGCTGAAGAGATGTTTAAAAGCAGAAAAATAATCATAGGTTTACAGCAATTGAGTTATTAGACGTATCCTCCTCATACCTCAGCAGGAGTTCTGATGTAGTAACTTCAGTGCCTCCCATGTTCTGAGCATGCTCACAGCTAGAGCTTTACTGGCATGAGGGGAGACGGATTCTTGTCACTATGCAGGCTGTCTTTTTTGTTCTTTCTTTTTTGTTTCTTTTAGTTTAAATCTACACTTGTGTTCTTGATCACTAATTCATTATGGTGTGTAAAAGGAAGTATAATAGGACTTTGATATTATTCGATAAGAAACATTTTTTAATCACTTAAAAATTTTTTTCCTCCAAAGCATGTACAACAATTTGCTGTTATTTAAATCCAAACATATATTGAAGTTCTTAAATATGAAGGATATAGGCTTACACTGAATAGGCTATGAAACTCTTTACAATTATATTTTCATGCAATAAACAAATGTCAACAAGCTGCTTACTTACAGATACACAAAGAACACCCACTTCTATTCAAATGTACTTACATTTTTTCAAATGACGTATAACAAGATAATTTAAATATATGGTGTTGTGTTAAATAATTACTGTAAAATATTCATACAATATTTTCACTTCACATACTTCCCCCATAATCATATTCCTTTTTCTTGAAGTGAATAATTTTATTCTTCCTTCCAGCTCTGTATTGCACACCTATTAGAAAACACTAATAATTTAGTTCTTACATCCTGAAAGCAGCTTTCTCAACAGCATAGTTAGTACAAGTTAAAGTATAAAAAGGGACTTTTGGTTGTAGGATTCTGTTGATCCCAGTGTAATCATTAAGACTTCTCCAAAAAGATGTAGAATTTCCATGTCTGAGTTTATATTTTACTAACAGGGAAATATCTATCTAGAATACAGTTTGTAGTTCTGATTTGGAGAGAAGATTTTGTGACTGAACGATGCAGATTCTCTTATATATTGTTGTTAACTGTGTGCCAACAACACTGAAAAAACTATCTTGTGGTGACTATTGTCATCACAAATCATAAAATATGGGGTTTTCCTTGTTCTTTCTTTCATTGTAGCCTTTGAAAGAACAAGGATTCAAACAGAATTTACAATAAAAAATACTGTATTTATCACATAATGTATTTAGTTCTTTTCTCTTTTTAAGAAGTGAGTTAAATTCCCGAAGACACCTCCCAGATACATTTATATGTGGTCTCATCTGATCTTTCAAATCAAAAGAAAAAGCAACAGAGAGAATAAAGATGAAAAGAAATACTTCAAGATCTTTTCTTACATTTCAAGCATCTTTTTTTCCCTCACTAACCTCGAGGCCTTTTTAGGTAAAAATTACCTTATTTCACTTAAAGGAATGATTAGTTTTTCTCACGTTTTGTGTTTTGCTGTCGAGATGATGGATGCTAGTTTCTGGTACTGAAATTTTGAGCATGAGTTTTTAATAAATACCATGCAATTAAATACGATGAATTGTCCATCATAAGTGTATTTGAAGTACAAATATATTTTCTATGAAAATGTAATTTTTGGAGAAATAAGAAATGTCAAGATGTCAAAGAAATTAGTTTAGATTTCTTCATGGTATTGTTATTCCTTTCTGTGAGGCTTTTCAATGTTAATCTTTGAAATATATTAACACAAACATTCAGGAATCAATAATTATAAATAATAGGAACATCTTTGGCTCACTGGTTTTTATAGGTAGAATATGCAAGCTTTGAAATACCATTTTATTTAGTATGTTTTAACTTTGACTTATCTGGTGCGAATATCCAGTCTTTTGTACTGAAACTGAAATGATTGACATTTACACAGGGATATAATATATGTGTTTAAATAAGAGTGAATGAATTTACTCTATTCTTAGAGCCACAGTTGGTAAGGAGGCTCCAGAGAGTGCTTCATGCAGAGCTGAGACGAAAGACTTGTGCAAACTGAATCCTCACTGGATAATTAACTTTGAATCTGCACAAGTGTGTTTTATTGATCCTTGCCTGAATCAGCTCATCCCTTCATCCCAGTCTCCTGTTGGTAGGACCCTTACTTTTAGCAATAATACTATAAAAGCTCATGTGAATATATTATTTACTGTATAAAACAATTCAATATAATTCTGGCTAATTCAAGGGCATTTATTTACTGAAAGCATTAATTACCTAGTTCTATGTGGTGGGGGGAGGGCACAGACATTTTCTTAGCTTCTACTGTCATTTTTATATACATCTTGGAAACTATTGTTAAATATAAAATTCTTAAATCAAGAGCATAATTTATTTAAAAATGGTCAGAAACCCTAATTTTAACACATTTTCATGATTGCGTGATTGTTTTTTATATAGGGCATAATTCATTATCTTTCCAAATTAATGTTTTCAATTAAGATATTTACTAAACACTCTGCTTAGTGAGAGTATAGCCTTGTAAACATTTCTCACTTCTATAGCCTTTTCACTTTATATAGCCTCTTATTCACCAAACCTGATCCATTAGCAGTTAGTATCACTTTCTGTTTTGGGGGAAACCAGACATACTGATATTCAAAGAACAAATTATATGAATAGGTAAGATCTGTCCTCAAAAAGATAAATTATAGAATAATAAACATCCAAATCCCAAGCTCATGATAGCAGGCCAATAATGGCAATGTTCCCTTGAATAGCCTCCTTACCATAAATCAAGTTATAGTAAAATCTGAGTAATTCGGCCATACTAGCTAAGTATTTGTGATTATAACTATATATTAGCCTTTATATGTGAGATTATAGCATTGTCATTATTCAGTAAGATTTATTTGCACCCTGTGGGCACAGCAAACCTAGCAATCACCTAATCTCATCAGCATAGTCAACATAGTGTGTCCATCAGTTGAGCAAACCAGTTCTGGCACAGGGTCCATTTTGATTAAGAAAGTCTAAATTAAGGGTTTCTTTTTTTTTTCTTTTTTTAGACAGGGTCTTGTGCAGTGGTGTTATCATTGCTCACTGCAGCCTCAACCTCCCAGGCCCAAACAATCCTTCTACCTCAACCTCCTGAGTAGCTGAGATCACAGGTGTATGTGACAACATCCACTAATTTTTCGTATTCTTTTTTTGTAGACATGGGGTCTCCCTATGTTACCCAGTCTGGTCTTGAACTCCTGGGCTCAAGCAATCCTCCCACCTCAGCCTCCCAAAGTGTTGGGATTATAAGCATAAGCCACCATGCCTGGGCTTAAGTGTTCTGATTTTGATGTTCTAAGTTTAAAATAATTTAAGTCATGCTCCATTTGTCTGGGAATTTCAAGTCTTGGCAAGCTCAACTATTAGGAGCATAGCCACAAACCCAGAGTAAAAAATAACCCTGAGACATCCACTACTGGCAGTATGGTAGATTAGATACACTGAAAAGACTTCTTGCTTGAAAATGCTGTAATAGCTCCTGCATAAAACAATTTTGTTGCATTTCTGGAGTCTTCAGAATGAGGGGAATCGAGTCTAAAGGGAAAATACATGACAAAAATAAAAACCAAATGCCGAAATGGCAATGGAGCACAGTAAACAAATGTAAAAGGCAAGATTGGTTTGCAAAAAATGCAGATAGCAGCACTACAACTTTTAGGCCTTGAGTCAGTGGCCAAATCTGAGAGCTAAGCCAGAGCTTCCTCGAAGGATCAGGCTAAAGACTATGAAAGGCGGTGTCCTGTAGCACCATTGCAAAAGAAATGCAAGCTCCATAATAAAAATATCCTTAATTGAAACCCCTACATTTTATCCAGGTTAAAATCAACTAAATATGAGCTCATTATCAAAGATCAACCAGGGATATATGGGTAAAAGTTGACAGAAACAAAGCAATAAATTTAGAACCCTACGTACTTCAAATATTGAGATGATCAGTTATGGAATGTAAAATATTTAAAGACTGCAATTACAAGAATAAATAAGGAATAAGAAAGCATCAAAAAGCAACAAAGAGAATTTTCAGAAATGAAAAATATGTTCCTAAAATTTTAAAACTCAATGGATACGGTAAAGAGCTGTCAAGACATAGTTGATAAAATAAGTTGTAAATGGAAATAAGGGAGTGAAGAAAGTTCCCAGAAGGCAGCATAGATAAACAGGGAATGGAAAAAAAAATGAAAGAAGAGACTAGGAGGAAAGCAGGAAAAATTTCAACACACAGCTAATTATAGTCCCCACAGGAGAAACTAGTGAGAATGAAGAGGAGATAATATCTGAGGAGATAATTATCGAGAATTTTCTAGAACTGATAAAATACAAGAATTTATAGATATAGCAAGGACAACTTCTGCTAGGCAGGACAAATAAAATGAATCTGTATTTACACATTCAGTTTTGAAATAGTATAATATAAAAGAAACCAGAAGGAAAAGACAGATCACCTACAAAGGGAAAATTAGAATGTTAGCAGACTTGTCAACAACAGCAACGGAAGCCAGAAGTGTAGTAATGCTCACAGTTCTGAGAAAAAATAACTGACAACTAAAGATTGTGTACCCCACAAAACGATCTTTTAACGGGAATGTAAAATAAAGTCATGCGCAAGATATATGAATACTAAGAAGTTAGGTAAGAACCAAAATGAAAAACGCAGACCAAAAGTTTGATAGCGTTTCAGGGAGGGGAACAATCTGAGTTGCGAAGGTCATTAGGTGAAACCTCAGCTCTGTCCCTCTTGATTGATGGATTGAGAGATTAAGAAATAGTGTCAACTATTCTCCCGGTGGTATCAAGGCACACACGCCAAAGTAAGTCTGAAGGGTAGAAGGAAGTAAAACAGCTTCTTGCTTCTGTTTGAAACTGAGAGCCTCCTCGGGTGCCTGTAATCCCAGCTACTGGGGAGGCTGAGGCAGGAGAATCACTTGAACCCGGGAGGCGGAGGTTGCAGTGACCCAAGATTGTGGGCTAGACCAAAAACTGGGTGGATACTCAAAATGCATATTAGAGATATTATGGTATATTAGATTATTTCCAATTATTCCACTCCCCGTAATAAGAGTGTGTGCCCCCACATTTTGCCGTGTGCCTTGGCAGGGCCTCTCTGTAGTGTATATTTCTCTGCTCCATTGACTTTTGCCTTGGCCATGAGACTTGTTTTCA